AAAAAAAAAAAAAAATGTATAAGCACTCTATTGTGAATAATGCAGCCTCAGTGCTTTATACAAACACGCATCTAGTAAATGTTTTTTAATTAATCTAACTCATATCTAAGATTTGAGAGAATTAGGTTGGTAGTATAGTTTCTCTTTAATGTAAGGCATTTTGTTTCTTCTTTTTGACTTTCAATATAATAAATGTCATGTAATATACTTGTATGCTTTATTGCTGTTTCTTTTGAGAATATGGACCATGTCTTAACTTGACACATGATAGACGCTAGTTTTAAATTAATTTATTAATGAAATAACTTTGCATTCACTTGTAAAAGTATGAGTCATGCAAAGAAATGTAAAGAAATGTACTTAGAAATTCTGGGTAAGAATATTAGCCAGCAAACTCTGAGTTAAGGCTAAAACTTTGATAAGCATTAAATAAGCTGTCAGAGAGGCTAGCCTAATGGAGAGACGTATAGGCCAGGTTTTGTTTCTTGTTTGCTTTTTTGATTGTAAAAACGTAAATCATGGCTGCATACAGCTCCCTAAGATTTTTTTTTTAAAGTATAAATGGCTATGTTTGTGTAGATATTGGAATAAGTCATGTGATAATTTGTCACAATGAGAAAAGTAATAGGAAACAAACATACCTATATTTTATTTTGGTTCTTCCATTTGTTAGCTGTGATTTTGAGCAAATTACTTAATCTTCCAACTTAATTTGAAAAACCTGCTTGTTTTAGTACACCACTAGTTGGCACTGTATAGAATATAAAGGTATAAAAACATACTTTCTACCCTATGGCCCTCTTCCAACCCAAGTTCAGATCCTCAGTACTATTCCAATCATTAATTCTAAAACTCCCTCTCTCTGCAGTTCAAAAACGGATCTCGTACCACCACTTCCGGTGACCCGTTCTTCGGATGCTCAGGGTTCTGGTGGCTCTACAATTCATCAGGTTAGCAATGATAAAATTTTATGGAAGTATTGACTGACAACAATTTTAAGAGGCACCTTTCTGAAGGTTCCCTTTGTAAATCTTTAATATCATTCTGAGATCATGTATTTTAAAAGAACATGTACATGACATAGAAGGAGAAGTGCATGATGGATAACTAAGGTACAACCTTCAAAGAATTAAGTTAGAAATAGAAGTTAGAGGATGTACAAGGTCTAAAATGATCTGAGGCTTGGGGGCAAAGCCAAGGATGACAAAGATTTTAAGATTATGTTGGGCCAGAACAATAAACAATAGCTTCACTAGTTAAGAGAAAGTAGTTTTACACATATTTTTGAGCCGGTGAAACAAGAAAGTGATAGCCTCTCTATAGCAGATGTTCTATTGTTACCTCATGGCAGACAGCAGAACTACTCAAGTCCTATTTTCTTTCTGTCTTCTTCACCAAAGAGAATGACTTTCATTTTGGATTTTTTTTTTTTTGTAAGTAAGTGGTTATAAGAGAATTCAAGGACTTAACAGAGGAGCAACTAGCTACTTTAAAAATATAAATTTAAAACTCAGCTGAATTAGATGGATATATCAGTGCAGTCATGACACAACAGCAAATGAAGGTCCAAAAATCTTTACTACATTCAAGTCATTAAACTTATCATTAAAGTTGCCTCTACTTTAAGGAGGAAGCTCTTCCCTAGTCATATTTTGAGTGCATTACAACCTGAGGGGCTCATCTTCCAACACTATATCAGACAGTGTTTCACTGCTATTCATAATATTGTCAATAATATATCTAATAATGTATCATCACTATTATTCATAAGATTTTCAGTGGCCATTTTTTCAGAAGTAGACTCCCCCTTCCTTTTTCCTCATCTATCTTAGTCTGGAAGCTGGGTTGAAACCCATCCACCGTGGGTGACCCTGCTAGTATTTGAAATACTGATGGTATAGCTTCCACATCACAGCAACACACAAGCCACTATAGTATGACAAATTGACAGATGAGTGGTGGACATCTGCTGATATGGCAGACTCAAAATGAGAAGAAACAACTGCAAACATCCATTAATAATCAGAATGAGAAACGGAACAAGTATGAACCTAGGAAAACTCAATGTTATTAGAAATGAAATGGAATGCATAAAGATTGGTATCATGGGCATTAGTGAGCTGAGATGGATTGGTATTGGCCATTTTGAATTAGATAATCATATGGTCTACTATGCCAGGAACGAGAGGAATGTCACGTTCATCATCAAAAACGTTTCAATATCTATACTTAAGTACAATACTGTCAGTAATACAATAATATCCATATACCTATAAGGAAGACTAAGTTAATATGACTATTATTCAAATTTATGAACCAACCACTAAAGCCAAAGATAAAGAAATTGAAGATTCTTACCAACTTTTACAGCTGGAGATTGACCAAGCATCATCCGTATTTGGGAAATACGGCCTTGGTGATAGAAATGACACTGGAGATTGCATGATAGAATTTTATAATACCAATGACTTATTCATTGCAAATGCCTTTTTCAACAACTATATACATGCATCTTGCCTGATGGAATGCACAGGAATCAAATTGATTACATCTGTGGAAAGAGATGATGGAGAAGTTCACTATCAATCACAACAAGGCTGGGGACTAACTATGGAACAGACCATCAATAGCTCATAAGCAAGTTTTAAGTTGAAGCTGAAGAAAATAAAAACAAGTCCACAAGAGCCAAAATACAACGTTGACTATATCTCACATGAATTTAGAGATCATCTGAAGAACAGATTCAACACATTGAACACCAATGACTGAAGAGTGTACAAGTTGTGGGATGACAAGGACATCACATATGTAGAAACCAAACAGCCATTAAAAAGACAGGAAATAAAATACCAAAATGGATGTCAGAAGACAGTCTTGAAATCTGCTATTGCACAGAAAGTAGCTAAAGTGAATGGAAAAAATGATGAAGTAAAAGAGCTGAGAAGGCAAAATAAAAGTATTATAATGAAATGTGCAAAGAACTGGAATTAGAAAATCAAAAGGGAAGAACATGGTTGGCATTTCTCAAGCTGAAAGAATTGGAGAAAAATTTTAAGCCTTGAGTTGCAATACTGCAGGATTCTCTGGGCAGAATATTGAGTGATGTAGGAAGCATCAAAGGAAGATGAAGGGAATACATGGAGTCACTGAACTAAAAAGAAATTGGTCAATCTTCAGCCATTTCAGGAGGCAGTATATGATTAAGAACCAGTGAGTGATATTGAAGGAAGAAGTCCAAGCTGCACTGAAGAAATTTGCAAAAACCAAAGTTCCAGAAATTGACAGAACATCCATTGAGATGTTTCAACAAACGGATGCAGTGCTGGAGGCCCTCACTTGTTTATGCCAAGAAATTTGGACGATGGTATCTGGCCAACTGATCAGAAGACATCCATACTTGTGCCTGTTCCACAGAAAGGTTATCCAACAGAATGTAGACATTATCAAACAGTATCATTAATATCACATGCAAGTAAAATTCTGAAAATAATTCAAAAACGGTTGCAGCAGTACACCAACAAGGAGCTGCCAGAAATTCAAGTTGGATTCTGAAGAGGACATGACACGAGAGATATCACTGCTATGTCAGATGGATCATGGCTGAAAGCAAAGAATACCAGAAAGATGTTTACCTGCATATTGACTATGCAAATGCATTGGACTATGTGGATCATAACAAATTATGGATAATACTGTGAAGAATGGGAATTCCAGAACATAATTGTGCTCATGAGAAACCTATACATAGACCAAGAGGTAGTCGTTGGAACAGATCAAGGGGATATGGCATGGTTTAAAATCTGGAAAGGTGTGTGTTAGGGCTCTCTCCTTTATTTATTCAATCCGTAAACTGAGCAAATAATCTCAGAAACTGAACTATATGAAGAACACGGCATCAGGATTGGAGGAAGACTCATTAAAAAACTGTGATATGCAGATGACACTAGCTTGCTTGGTGAAAACAAAGACTTGGAACACTTACTGATGAAGATCACAGACCACCACCTTCAGTATGGATTACACTTCAACAAAAAAGAAAACAAAAATCCTTGGAAATGTACCAATAGGCAACATCACAATAAATGGAGAAAAGATTGAAGTTGTCAGGGATTTCATTTTACTTGGATCCACAGTAACATTCATGGAAGCAGCAGTCAAGAAACCAGAAAATGTACTGCACTGGGCAAATATGCTGCAAAAGACAGTTAAAGAGCCAGGATGTCACTTTGAAGACTAAGAGTTCAAGACAAGACTTGCCTGGCCCAAGCCATTGTCTTTTCAATAGTGTCATATGCATGTGAAAGCTCACAATGCATAAGGAATATACAACAGAAGAAGTGATGTATTTGAATTGTGGTTTTGGCAAAGAATATTGAATATATCATGGACTGCCAGAAGAAGGAACAAATCTATCTTGGAAGAAGTACAGCCAAAATGTTCCTTAGAAGCAAGAATGGCCAGTTCATCTCTTGTACTTTGGTCACGTCAGAAGGGACCAGTCCCTGGAGAAGGATATCAAGCTGGGTAGAGGGTCAGTGAAAAAGGGGAAGAGCTTCCATGAGATGGATTGATACACTGTCTGTGACAGTAGCCTCAACCATAGCAAAAATTGTGAGGATGGCACAAGACCAGACAGTGTTTTGGTCTGTTGTACAGTCATTTGAGTCGAAACCAACTCAGTGGCACCTAAAATAAATATCATGAGAAGTGCTAGAGCAAACATATTTCAGCAATATATATTTTAATAAGGTAGGGAAAAGGATAGGTTGTATCTAATAGTTAGATGGATTTATATCTAGTTAAATAAAACCAAAAAACCAAACCCGATTCATAGTGACCCCTCCTTGGGTTTCCGAGGCGGTGTCTGTATGGAAGTAGATTGCCCAGTCTTCCTTCTGAGGAGTGGCTGGAGGGTTTGAACCACCAGCCTTCTGGTTAGCAGTCAAATGCCTTAGGTACTATACCACCAGAGTAAACAAAAGTTGTTATTAATTATGGATCAGTGTCAGCCTATCATTTGCTATGCTGTGGTTTCTGAGACTTTAGATCAAGGATCCTTTTGAAAGACAATTTTAACTATTCTCTCTCTCCCCCCATAAAAATGTATTGAAGCCCATACAGTTTTGTTCCTGAAGAACCTAGACTCAAAGGCATCTATCATGTGCTGCCCTTCATGTGTCCCATTTGTCATTTATTTATTTATATTGTGATTTGGGTGAAGATTTACAGAGCAAATTCACTTTCCATACAGCAGTTCACATACACTTTGTCTCATGACATTGACCACAACTTACCCCAATGCAACAGCTCCCCTCCCACTTCCGCCCGATAATTACCTCTTCCCTGTGTCCATCCCTCCATGCACTCCTGCCCCCTGAGCTCTCCCTGTGCCTGACTAGCCTTTCTTTCTCCCATGATTGTTCTCTCCAAGGAGTGTAGCTACCTCAGGTAAATGTTGAACTCATACGCCTGTCTTTGGCTTGGCTGGAAGCCACAGGTGTGGGTTCAATTCCAGACCTGATGGGCAGCTAAGGGCCATAGTCTCAGTGGTTCCACCAGGCTCTATTGGACCAGCAAACCTGGTTTCCCTCCCACACACACTTTTTTTTTTTCTCCAAATGATTTTGAGTTTTGTCCACATTGTTCTCCCTCTCTATCCATGATCTCCTACATAGAACCCCTTCCAAGTGGTTGATACTGGTAGCCGGGCTGTTTGTCATTTTTATCAATGATTTGAACAAGGACAGAAAAACCTGTGCTAATTGAGATCAGGTTCCCTTCAGTTAGATTCTGAGCTGGAAGTTTATTGGAGAATGCAAACTCTCTTAGGACCAAACATTTCTTGTGGAGTGAGAGAAAATATGTTTGGGTAGAAGCAAGAATTGAACTGTAATACAGTGCCAATATCCATGGGGAGCTCTGGAGCTGAAATGGTCTTTCAGATTCACCCCACCTTGAGGCAAGGAGGCTGGGCCTTTTTGCATGCCTGCCTGCAGGTGCATGCACACACACGTGCACACACGCACACACACAATCTGTCAGTACATACAGGGTGTCCAGGAAGGGGACATGACCTTGGGTGAGGTGGCTCTTTTCAGGTTAGGGTGGTTCTTGGGGGAGGGACTGAGTTTTGAGATATACAGCAGCCAGCACTTCCAATAGGTAGGGGAATGAACGCCTCAGTCCAGAACAGGCATCTGGGTGGGAAACCACACTTCCACTACAACCTGTACCTTTGATTGCACAAAATCTGAGGTAATACATTCTCCAAACAGATAATTTTTGTTTCAAGTCAATAACACATTTTCAAAATTCTATTCCTTATTTTTTTAGATTTTTTTGCATTCAGATTGACCTGCATTTGTGTCTCATCTCTACCTACTTGTGTAGTTTTGAGCAAATTTACCTTCTAAGCCTTAATTTCTGTGCAATATAGATAACGTACCACATAGGTAGGAACTCTGGTGGTGTATTGCCTAAGGCACTTGACTGCTAACCAGAAAGCTGGCGGTTCAAACCCACCAGCCACTCCTCGGAAGGAAGATGGGGCAATCTACTTCCATAGTGATATGCCTCGGAAACCCAAGGAGGGGTTGCTATGAGTTGGGTCTGACTGGATGGCACATAACAACAACACTACATAGGTTATTGTGCAGATTAAGAGTTATTTTCCAGGGTTTTTTTTTTTTTCTTTTTATATCTTAAATTTAAGTTGGCTTCAACACCAACAGAGCTCCCTCAATACAAACAGAAATTTTATTTGTATTTTGGCTTTCCAGCTGCTCTAGATTCCCTACTAATCATTACCACATAGGAATCTCAAAACTCTTGTTACACACATTAGTGTTAAAAGATTAGTTCTCACTTTGCTGCAGGAAAGAACAACTTACATATTCCGATCAATGGCACTGTTAAATGCCATTTCCTGTTTACAATTGTAAGCCTGTCTTACAAACTTTTGGTTTTAAACTTAACAAATATCAAATAAGCACATCTAAGGAATGACAGCATTGGTTTGGGCACTAGGAAGTACCTAAGGTATCAGTTTATGTGCCAAATCCAGCCTGCTGCCTGGAGCTACGAATGGTTTTTACATGTTCACATTTTTAAAGGGTTTTGAAAGGGGGTGTGGTGGAAACAGGACTATGCAATAGAGACCATGTGGTCCATAATCTGAGCCTTTACAGAAAATGTTTGCTAACCTTGCCCTAGACAAAAGTAAACAGGCAAAACAAATACAAATTAAGGTAATCATTATGTAGAAAACAAAAGGGCTCAACTAGGTAATCAACAGAGTGACCTCATTTAAAATAGGGTAGTCAGAATGGGTCAGACTCTGGAAACGCCATTCAAAGCTAAGCCCCCCACCCCCATGAGAGTGGGTAGAAGACAGATCTAAGCAGAGGGATGGGTCTGGGAAAATCTGGGGTGGCTGGAAGGGGCCAGGACGTATTTATCAGAAGACCAGTGTGGCCATAGTGAGGGGTAGGGTAGATAATGCAGTATGGCTTTATTGGCCATAGGACAAAAGTTTAAATCCTATTCTGGGGCCAAAAGGAAGCCACTAATTTGGCCACTGTGTGAAGGAACTGGAGTGTTACCAGTGTTACTCATGTTACAAGTCCTCTTAAGATACTCATTTCCTCAGCTGATTGATAGGTCTCCCTAGCCCCAAGTGATGTGAGTCCCCAGGACACCATGTCATTGGGGTTCTCATTCAGCCACTACTGAATATGTAATCAATGAAGATTAAAAATTACCTCAACCTCCCCATTCCCTTTGTCTTCTTCAGAAGTACACCTGAGAACTTTGTTTAGGAATGACTGTACAAAAGAAATGTTAGATTTGAGATTTATGCCTATTTTCATGAATAAAATACTCATTGTCAGGCTTACAAATTTTAATCTCAAACTCTTTGTATGTATAGTCTTATTCATGCAGTTGTTTGTGTTGTTATGTGCCGTTGAGTCAGAACTGACTCACAGTGACCCCTCCATGGGTTTCCAAGGCAATATCACTATGGAAGTAGATTGCCCAACCTTCCTTCCGAGGAGTGGCTGGTGGGTTTGAACTGAAACAAAACAGAGGGAATATTGATTGAAAAGCCTTTGGTATTAACCACTGTTGAATAATTATTTTGTAACTTGATGTTTAAAGTATAACAGCTCAGTAGTTTCTGATTAATAATAATATTCATTTTTGTGTGTATTCTCTTCTGATCTTTCAAATATGTTCTTTCAGAGACGAAATGGGTCTAAAGATAGCCTGACAGAAGAAAAATCTCAGACATCTACAAGCAATCTGGCTGGAAAATACACAGCAAAAACAATAAAAACTGTCCAAGCTTCACGCCTCAAGATAGAGACTTGATCCCAGTGAAGAAGGGTTTGAGATGGGTGGGTGGGAAGGGTGTGTGCCACTGTTACTTTGAAACTGTGAATTATATAATTGTTCAAACATCCTGGACCTGCAAGTGTTTCTTCACAAGTCTCTTACTTCTTTAAAGGTTTAAAACTGTAGCACACTTATGCTGAAGGGCTGTGTTAATTATGGTAACTAGAAAGACAGTCTTGTAAAAAATGCATTTACTCGATGCCACATCTCTATAGTGGAACAACTCAAGTTTGGAATCCCAGACTGCAGCTGCCTAACTGTGCAATATTATCACCAAGTAGGAGGAAAAGTTCTTCCCAATTCTAGGCAGGTTCTCAGTTGGTATTTACGCACAAAGGCTGAGGAAGCACTTTCAGACTGCAGTTATTTTCACTCATACAAGTTCTTTGTATATACTGTACTTTGTGGCAGTTAAGTCCCACAGGTGATTTACAAAGGATGCAAAAAGCTTTTAAGTGTTGCCTTTTAATTTCTAAAAAGTGCCCTGGTTTAGTGTTTTCAGAAAAAAGGGGTAAATGTGCATTTCAGTTAACCTCCGCATTATAAACTCATGACCCTCAATCTCAAATGGTTGATCCTGGCCACTCCTCAGTGACTGTTTCAGACCTTTCCTCTCTGTGGCCATTTGGCCACCTACTTTACAGAAACTTCACTTTCCTGTTGCCACATACAGCTCCACAGCTCTACCAACTCTACTCTTCCCCTCCTGTTCTATTCCTCACTGGTGCTTTGGATTCCATCTCCTTCCAGCCTTCCCAAGATCTTTATATATATATATTCATCTTTTCTCTTTCAGCTAGATCCTTGCCATTTGTTTCTGAACTTAAGACTGCCACTTAAAATCCCTCTTCAGCTACTACCATTTCTCTGGATTCTTTACTCCTTATTCCTAATTCACCACATAATCCCAGTTATAAACTATCTATAATCTGGATTCTCCCTAACCTCTAACTTCATGTCACCAAACCCCCTAATTTTTAGGCCACCTTGCAACATTCTCTCTCCTTTTGCAGTTTATCCTATTCTACCTTGCCATTGCCTGGTTTTTCAAACACCAGACTCATGACCTTACTACTCAGCCTTACGATTTCTCCAGTTTAGACACTGAGGCCACTTGGATTTCAGACAATTCAAACCTAAATTTAAAATGCCCCTTAGCTGGACTTGGGGGCATTATGTTTGTCTCCTATTACTCAGCCTGCTGCCATAGCCCTTTATAGTTTACTGCTCTCACAAATGTCATAGACAGTGGTCCAAGCTATCAAACTCCCGTTACAAGCAGGTTCCCACTCATGGTGACATCATGGATGGGAGAGCAGAACTGTGCCCCACCAGTTTTCAATGGCTGATTCTCACAAGCTGCCAGTGGCCTAACTGCATCCCTCTTCTTCCTCCAAATTGCAGCCAGCCCCCACCCCAAAAACCAAGTATTTTCCCCTACCACTCATTTTAACAAAGCCTTAATCTGTCTGCTCTTCACCTACCTCCTTTTCAGTATCATTTTCTAACTAACTCTCTAGTTCCCATAATGGTCTTTTTATAAGCCTCATGACCCACTCACCTCTTGTCTAAACTAGGACACATATGAGGAAAAATTTTAAGACTGTCAGACATATCTGGATGGACATGTTTTCTAGCCCAAGGCCTCTAACACACCATTCCCAACTTAATTTTGCCTTCTCAGGTTCTTCCAACATGGCCCAAATCCAACCCTAGGACTTATCTCAGAACGGCAGTTTTACATGTGTTGACATTTCCTCCATTCAACTGTCAGCTCCCCCAAATGGAGGAATTGTGTTTTGCTTCCATATTGTGTTCCCAACACCTAGTACAGTGCTTTTAATAAATTTTTTGAATGACTATTTGTTCTTTCTTGTAAGAAAAAATGCAAAACATGTCTGTAAGTGTATGTGATCTAGTAAAACAAAACAAAACCCTGCAGTGATAATATAAAACACATCTGTAACACAGAAACCAACTCATCTAGTTCTGCTCTTAAGGTCTAGCACCTCTATTTCATAGGCCTATCAGTGACTATGACTGCATTGCATATTAATCTTAAATACCTTAATTGCCAACAGCACGGGAGAATAATCAAGTAAAACAGATCTCATATTTATCAATACATTTTGAAGTACTTCTCCTTCTGGATTCTTGCAGTTGCTCTAAGTGTGGAAACAAAGCTCTTTAGTTTGAGTAAAAGAATAGTATTTTCTCTTTTGCTATGAATTTGAGAAAAATGTTTATTTAAAGTTCATCTCTGAAAGGTGACAGTGATTCTCAGAGTTATGTTCACATCTGGTACCTTTTCTCAGGTCACAAACATCAATATGGCCAAATAACAACTCATTCCATATTTAGTAACCAATTACTATTTGTAATCATTCCTGTGCAGGTATAAAAATTTTTCATGAATTTATTTTTACAAGAAAGTTTATCACTGCCTCAAGATACATTCTAAAAAGTTACATTAGTTGGGGCTAGAGGGAGCTTCAGTCCAGTTCAGATTTCTTCAAATTGTTCAGGATCAAACCCTCAGTCACTACCATGCTGTTAGTTACCACGATATAACAAGCATGGTTATATACATGGCTCTTCTTTGTAAAATGACCCTTTTTGTACTTTTAGGCTTTGATTAGTTTCAATATGCAACATGTTAACAAATTACATAGCCTTTTCCATTTTCTCAAGATTGTGAATTAAGTGGCAAACCATTCCAGGGAATGTTCATCTCAATACAAACTGGAATGTGTACTTTAAATAAAAGGATGACTATCTATATAGTATAAATGCAACCAGGTACCAAGAAAACACACAAGTTTAGCAAGAATATTTTTCTAGAGCTCTTGGTACTAGAATGGGAAGAGAAACTAAAGGGTAGCCTCCTCAATCACCTAGAAAGTTATCCTAACAGCCTGTGCCAAGGCAATGACTTCTGACCAAAAGTTATTATAACCATAAATAGGATCGTCACCATGGAAATGAGAGCCAGTAGCTCTGAATGCTGACATAGAAAGGACATTGATAAGGATAAGCATTCTGTGCATTCAGGCTTTGGGAGATGGCTACATCTCCCAAACTCTCCCTTATAAGGACTCAAATCCAAGTTACTGAAAATAAATAATTTTCGATATTTATATTGAAGTTGCAAATGTGGTATTTGGTAAACTTAATGCCTAAAAGTGCAAAATCCCAGAAGTAGGATATAAAGGAAATGTTTACCAAAAGGTAAAGTCAATGAATGCCAGAGAAATGTAAACATCCCATAACATTTTGATATTTTTTCCACTCATTCCTAGTCTAAGGGTTTTTAATGTTTTCCCAAATATAATCAAAACAAGCAGCCTGCTAACATTTAGGTGCTGGTTTGTTTGCTGTACCTTGCACTAAGAAGAGTTCTCAGAATAGTTAGACCTGTTGAAATACATACAAGAAAACACTTCGTCACTTTATTTAGTGTGGGGGGAGACCAAGCAGGCGCAGTTTCCTCCCAGCAGTGCCTTCCTCTGCAGGCAAGGTCCATGTGGTTGCCTCCAGAAAGTAGTACCTTCCGTGGTGGCTGTGGCTTGTAGTGCTTGGTGCCTCCACAGTGGTTACCCATCTAGACCAAAAGAATGCCATTTTATCAGTTAACTACTAAGAACAAATTTCAAAGAAACACCATTAAACAATTTGCTTTGAACACCCAATTATAGACTGCCCAAAGACAGACCTTTCACTACTCCTCAGACTCCTGAATAAGTGATCCAGGCAACTCTTCTGAAGATCAAAAATTCAAAATCCTCACCAAGCACATCCTGAGAAAGGGAAATGAAACCACTAATTTGGCAAGGAAGTATTTACACGTGGTGTATCTTGAACCCCAGCACTATGTATTTGTTTCTCTGGGATACCCAGCAAAACCTTTAGTTCACAAAGACTAAGCTGACAAGAGGCTGTCCTATTTGCTGTTTAACTTAACCTTGAAAATTACAAAGTCTTACATAACAATGAGCTATTAACACCTAATTTAAACTAATGCCCACTAGAAGCCTCCCCATCTGCAAAGGTGACATAATTCTCACCACAAATATCAACTTTTTGACAGAATTACTACTTCAACAGTGTAGCCGTACCTTAAGTCATTTTTGTTCAAATGGATAGCAGCAGCCGAACTCAAGCATCTATTGTTCTCCTACAACAAAAATTAGTTAAAACTGGTTAAGAGAACCCATACAATCCAGCTATGTAAACTGTAACTTGTGCAGCTCCTACACCAAAGAAACAAAATTCAAGGGCAGAATATGGCCGCAAAGAGTTTAATTTACGCCTTTTTTGACACCACATTCACTAGTTTCCGAAAGTGAATGGGCAACACAAAGGCCTGCATGGGAAATGCCTTAGGACCCGTTATGTATGGCACAAGGTTGCTGACCCAGTATCAACTGGTTGAGGTTAATCGCTTTTGTATAAAACAGAACAGTTAAATAATGCCAGTTCGAGTTTCTTATGATTCAAAACCAGAGTTAGTAAGAAAAATTGAAATATAACGTGCTTTCAACACAATAAGTAATGATTGGTTTCAATTACAGTCCCCCAGGCTATTTGGTTTTAATTTTTGCATTAAAAAGAACTCACCTTAATATGGAGATAACTCATTCTTTCCGTCAAGTTGAAATAATCTAATAAACCCTCAATCTGACATTTTACTTCCACCTTAACTGATGTCACAGTGGATTAAGGCCTTTCTCGTTCACGAAAAATAGGCTCACTTATATTAAAAACTCCCTGGAATGAGCCTAAAAAAACCTCAAACCCACTACCATCAAGTCGATTCGGGCTCCTAGAGAACCTATTGGGCAAAGCAGAACTGCCCGATATGGTTTCCAAAGCTGTAAATCTCTACAGAAGCAGATTCTCATCTTTCTTCCATAGAGCGGCTGGTGGGCTCTAACTGCCGACCTTTTGGTTAGCAGCCAAACGCCTTAACCACTGCG